TTGAAAAGCGTTTCGCATATTCAGGATATGGTGGAATTATGGTGAGGTTTGTATGTGGTCGGGTATAGTATAGAATTTTGTATACCTCTTTATATTCTAGGGTAATAGGATTTCCCCATTACAGAGTAGAAAGTAGAAGTAAAACGTATGATTATTAATTAAAAAGTGTTTTCTACTTTTATACATAACTAAAAAGCTATATTTATAGAAAAACTCTGGGGTTTTCTTCACACTCTTTTCAATGCCAACTATGATAATTGTCAACTTTAATAGATTTATAGCTATGATCTATTGAAATTTTTTAGCTAAATGTAGTAATTTTCAAAATATAATACCTATTTTTATATTCATAACTAGTTATAGTTACATGGTCTTACATGAAAAATGTTTTAATAAATTTTTATGTATATTTTCTTCTTTTAACTGATTAACTTATGATCATTCCAACAACCACTTAAGTGATTTTAAATTCTCAGATTAAGTTATGATATCCTTTTTTAGTTTTATCCCAATTAAGGCCAAATTCAAAGGCAAACAAGAAACGATTTAAAATCCGCACCGAACAAGGCAATTTAATTTGATTGATTTCAATTTCTGCCGTTTCCACTGCCTTTCGCAATCCCATTCCCCCGCTCCTGCCGCGCCCGAGTGGAAATATAAATCGCTGGGATAATGAAAAGCGTCACATTTGATTGCATTTTTTGTGTGAAATTGGGCTGACAATGTTCGCTTTCGCTGACCAAATAAAAGGAGGAATCGAACGATCCAAGCGAAGGAAGGACACACACGCAGACAAAAGGGGTGATGCATTCACGTGGTTTTAAACCTCACTCACACACATGCGAATGGGGGGTGATTGCCATTTGCGAACAGGCAAAAGGGTGCAGCCCATTGGAAGAGGAACAGGAACAGGAACAGGACCTCGGCGAGGCCGTGTAAACGTGTTAGGGCAGAACAAAAAACACAAAACAAAAAAAAATGTGCACTTTACGCAATTTATGTGCAAATTTTTCAATGACTTTAAAACGATGCAGGAGGGCTGATTGACTCGTTGGACGAGTGACAGGGGATGGCCCTGGCCCAGCCGGCCAGTCATTATAATCGCTCGCTAATTGACTCTAATAGACTGAAGGCTTCTTTCTGGGGGGGGGAGGTTGGATAGATGCCCTGCTGGCTCTCGGAAAGCTCTGTCAAAACCCCCTGAACTCAAATCACTTTTGAAACGGTCTTGCAAGGAGCATAATCTCGAGTACTACGAGGGATTCTTAAGCGGCGGCTCAGCGAGATCTTAAGAGTAAGCAGCTTGCCCGAAAAACACACACTTTCAAGTGCTAAGGATCACCAGGACGACCAGGTATTATGTGTGAAAAGTAGCCATTAGAAAATTGCCCACAAATTAGCACAAATAATGCGAGCATTTAGCAATTTGAATACGCTCGCCCCGAATCCCACACGCACTCGCGCTTATCCCCTCGACCTTTCACCTTGCCACCTTTCAACCATTCAGCCCTTCAGCCTTTTCACCTTTTCACATGTCCTAAGTCCGCTCTCACACATGAGCGGGGGTAATTATGCGCCTGATTTAACTCTACAATAGATCCACAAATGACAATTTCACACTGCTTTGTTGTCCGCCCGGTCGGTCCTTTCTCTCCTAGATATTATTCTCTGTTATTTCAAGTGCCGCGCACTTGAATTTCGGTCGTGTCCTTGAATCTGTTCATGCAGAGCGCGGAAAAAAATATATTCGAGTAATACCGAAAAAAAAATGCTCAACAAAAAATGGCTTCGCTCAGAGAAATATGAATTCATGGATGTTGACGGCGATCAAACAAAGGACTTTTTGAGCCAGGCCACGCCTTGTCTGAGGTTTTTTTGTTCCACATTTTACAGCCGAGGAAATGGCCAAGGAAATTCGCATTTATTATAATCGCGGGGAAATGAGTGCAAAGAAAATTGCTCTCAATTTCCCGCCAAGGAAAGCGCACAAAAACCCGAATCGAATTGAAAATGAAATTAATTTGGCAGAGAAAGAGGAAGAGCGCAGTAGCGAGCTGCTGCTCAAACTTTGCAATTTGCGGCGCGTTTCCGCTTCCGGTCGTCTTAGCGTCGATGAGGCTCCTTCAGCGCCAAAGAAGACATCCTTGGAGCACTCCGATTGTCATCCATTTCGTTTGATGTGTCACAGTCGCACAGCGAGAGCATAACAATTTTATTTCCATTTTCCTTTTTACGCTCTCAGTTGCTTTTTTGTTGCCCGAATCGATTAGCAGCCACTTAGAGCAGTTAAGAGCCCCATTGAGTTTATTAAATCAGGCGTAATAATTGGCACACACACACACACAATGGAAAAGGGAAAGCGGCCAGGAATAGATGATGGTGATGAATAGCGAATAGGAATCAAGGTATTGAAAATCAAAATCGATTCCCAGGCAGCAGGCACTGGCAGCGTTGTCAGATCGTATTTCCCCCCAGACAAAAAACACTCTTCATCTCAAAAGGATATACAAATAAAATTACAAGTCGTTCGGTCGCACCTTCAGCATGGCGGACAATGAGGAGTATGACCGTGCATTTACAACAATCGCCGATATCTCCGAGGAGATGGGTAAGTAATAATAGAAGTAAAAATAATATTATAAAGATATATCCAGCTTTTATGCTAAATAAATCTTTTGGCTAAAAAATGATATTATACAAGATTATCAAAGACCCTTCATCTTCCTAAATATTCTTCTTTTATGGTAGAAAAAAGCTTTAAGTCTAAACAGTTTTAGAATCTTCCTTATTATAACAATTGAATTAGTTCTTATTAGTTGTATATATAAATATATTCAACGCTATTTACAAGATACGTTTAATGTCAAATTATGAAAAGCGTTTTCAACCCTCAATTTCATTTTAGCTTTTACATGAAATGAGTCCTTCAACCCTCTATTTTTCAACAAAATGTATTACTAAAACAAATCCCAAATTAAATCTCTTAAAAGATCTCACTACAAAAGCTTATTTTGAACATTGATACCATTTTTAATAATAATATCCAATAATATCCTACCTTTCCAGAATGCACTCAAGTTACTCACGTTCCGCAGGTCCTGAAGCAATTGGAGGACATTCAGGACTCGGAGGAGGAAATGCGGTTGGCTGAGGGAAAGCGACTGGGCAAAAAATACGATTCGGTCTTTCATTAACCATCCAAAAGTTCTCACGTCACAATCGTTGCGAGCGACACCTGCCCAGGTGTTGGCCTGGCAATTAATGACTGGCTGAACTCCTCACATTCACACGAGCAAACACAGAGCCAGGGATCCAATGAAGGAGCCAACGGCACGCAAGCCGTGAAGGGTTCGGTCCTGAAACTCAAACAAATTGTGACAAAGTTGCGGAAATTTAATTAAAATCAAATACAAACACAAATAACTACTACAAAAGCGCAAAAGGGGTAGCGAATTGGCAGTCAGGTGTGACCCGTTAGTTTCTAACACGCTCGCAGCCCCGGCTGAAAGTCGCTAGTTTTCCGCGTCGTTTAATAAACAAAATGTAAACAAAGTTTAACAGCAATGACACACATGACTCCTCCACCCCCGCTCGCCTTGTTTTTTGTTTTTGTTTTTTTCATAGTGCTATTGCCTTTTTATTAATATAATTTATGAGCCTGTGGTTGTGAGCGTTGTGAGCAAGGTGGAAAAGCAAACAGAGGAAAGCCAGGGCAGCGCAGCTGCTTAATTTCACAGCGCATACATTTGATTAACTTAATTTAATAGTATTTCTTTCTTTCTTTTTTTATATGCCGGTGTCCTCGTTTCGAGCTTGCTTTTTGATATATTTGTTTGTTTATTTAATTTATTATTATAGTTATGGCCACGCGCTCTGGTTAACAGCTATAAATGCGATTATATAGCTATTGATCATTTTTAGGAGCTGGCTTTTATGGTTTACTTACTAAATTAACAAGGGAAAGGATATGGGATGGGATGGGAGATGGGATATCCTGTATGTCCTGCAGGAAAGTGTATTTAAATATGCTACTAAGATATATAAAATACTGAATTATTTATATATTTTCTAGTTTTATAAGTAAACAAGTTAACATGAGGTGAGTATATATCCCGTATGTCCTGCAGAAAAATGAGTTGAAATATGTTACTAAAATATATTAAATACTAAATTAGTTATTGTATTTTCTAATTAAAGTTACTCTCTCCTTCAGTTAATCAATAAACTATAAAGTCCTGCCTGTAACTGCCACAACAATCACCGAGGACGACCATTGGCTAATGAGCACACAATTGGCTGCCCGAGCCCAGCCAGCTGCCCTTCGTTTATATACAAATTCTACCTGAACTGGCCAAGGGCCGAATGGAACAAATCAGGCATGAAACCATTATGGCTAAAATCGGTAAACAAAAACCACGGGGCACTGCTCTTTCTTTAATCACGACCCAGGGAGAAGACGATCGCCACTGAACGATAAAATTAGGCACAGCTTAGCCATGTTTCGAAGTCAGCAGGCAGGGAATCCTAAAGGAGACATCCTCACCTTCTTTGAGAAGTCTCAGCTGGAGAGGATCCTCACGGGCGGCTCGCTTTGAAATGCTTAGCAGGAGCGGGAGCAATTGACACAAAAGTATCGTGTTTCGCAGTTGTCGCCAGCTTACTTACAGCGTATCCTGTCGGAAATGTTTTCGTTGGCAATTGCATGTTGCGGTATGTTGGCAATTTATTTTCGGGCATCATTTCCAAAGCGATCAGCGATCGCAGGACACCCGATACTCCCGCCGGAATGGGTCTTCTCAAGTGGTCACAAATTACAGCAATTACGAAGCGCCCTTGTGTCCTGTGTCCTGCGTTCTGTGGCCGCCGTAAAATGGCGCTCATTAGGGATCCTTCCTTCCCCCCCAGCCGCCGTCAGACAATCTGCGCAATTATTTCGCTGACAACTTTTGATGAATTAAATGCGAAATAAATTTTTAAGTGCGCGTAACGAGCATTGCGGCTGCCGGGCGAAATGAAATGAAAATACGGAGGCAAACAGAGCAGGACGAAATAGGTGGAGATTCCACAGGCAAGGTGAAATCTTTCTTGAGCGTCTGTTGAGCGGATTTAACTTGTTTAATTACCGCTGTATTCAGATGCATTCAGTGCGCCATCAACTGGCGCTCATTACGACATCACTGCTTGTATATATACATATGTATGTAGGGATGTGTGTGAATACACTGAGAGATCAGTAAGTTCAAATTAAAATTTAATAATATGTATAGATTCTGTGCCTCTTACATTTCCTACATAAACTTTGATCAAAATTAATTTAATTGCTTTTTTTTCTTCAAAAGTTGAGTAAAAATCTACCAAAAACTTCCCTTAATCAATATCTTCATATTTTTCAGAAAGAAACCCTTTTCCTATAAATATAGAACATTTATTCTACCCTTTAGAAACAATAATAGTAAGTGCAAATAATTAAAATGGGACTAACATATTTTAGAAATTAATTTATACCTAGGATGTGATCAGACATTGGACCTCCAGCCCGCAAATCTAGAAATTTCCCTCTTCCGATGGACTTTCTTGTAAAATAATGTCTTTAACAAATAAGATGTTTCTTAAATAAAACTGCATTTAAGAAATCTATAAAAATTTTTAATTTTTAATTTTATACAATACAAAAATTAATCTTAAAACCTAACCAATTTATTAAAAAAATTTTAAAACATTTCAAATTTCTAAAAGTGTATACAAATACAGCCTGTTTTCGGGGCGAGTTGAAAATGCTGGCAGTATTTCAAGTGCACCGCCCACCGCCTCGCATCGCGTCCACTTGCTCCTGTTTTGCGTAACTGTTACCATTTTAATGCGCTCGAGTGTCGGGGGACAAAATTGATTTTCGTTACCCCATTGTGTTTGGGCACTTTGAAGAGCATTTGGACTCGTACAAATTTGTGCCTACACAAGGTGAAATTGCACTGAGCTGATTGAAAAATATCGTGGAGGAGAGGCGAGGCGAAGCGAGGCTCTCTCGTCACTCAATTTCGTAGAGCCACAAATACGAAACTCAAAAGGCCACTTGATAAATTTCATATATTTATAGCCCGCAGAGTGACGCTCTGCATTTGCACACTGAATGAAATTCCATGAGCATACACACACAGATACACAAGCACAAGGACATTTTGGGAGGCTTACCCCCGGCTCCGCTTCCACTGCAGCTTGGCCAAACACTTGCACAAATAAAAGATCTACTTCAACTTATTGAATTTTCGTTGATAGAAACAAGTTGAAACGATAGGGTAGAATGGAATTTTGATACTCTTTCACAGGATATTAGTAAATAATTATAAAAAAGCAGATAATATAAATTGTTTCAAGAGAGGAATAGGGTTTATCCTGTCATAGGTTATATATTTACTTCGGTTTTTAATATGTTATGGGGATAAAATTATATATTAAAGCATTTATTATTATAATAATGATGTTAAAGGTTTATCATACCCTTAAATAATTTTAAAAATATATATAAAATGAATAAACAATTTTCTAATATTCTCGAATAAAAATGTTATAATTTCTACTCTCAGAAACTTACCCTTTTTTTTAATATATCAACTTAAGTAAGCTTACCTTTTTAACTTTATTTTTCACCCCATCCTGACTTTTCTCCATTGATTCCTAAATAGAACCCTAACCCAACTGCCCAACTGCGAGAGTGTATTCCAGCTTTGGCAGGTCCTTCCATTCTACGGATGTCTTCAGCTACCTTCTACACAAAGGACAGCCACAAAAGGCAATTGCATATGAGTTTTATGAGAGCTTCTTTTGAATGCTCCGCCCCGTAGCGTATCCTTTTGACTGTGACAAATCCGTTAAGTCGCGAATTTCGTTCATTATTATTATTGTGCGCCTGTGTATTTGTGCCGGGAATTGGGCTCTGACCTCGGCCATCCATCCATCCATCCAGCCATCCACCGGGATATGATGAGGACGAACGAGTGGTAAGTGTAATCAAATTCCAACCCGAGTCCCGGGCATGAACTCTAGACAGGACCGGCTGAGCAGGAACTTGACGGCGTTTTATTATTAAATTTGAGGCCATTGCACACACAATGCGATATCCTGCCGCGCGCTCGAGCTCTGTGCGAAATTATTAAAAAGTAATTATGGCACAAATTACGAGATATCAATATAGCATTTAGCTCTGCATGAGGCCCGGCTACAAAGGGACTCACCACCACTTGAAATCGGTGCAAATCCTTTGGCTCTCACATACATACACATCCCATAGAATTGCATTTCCTCCACGGTTGCTGTCTGGGGCACAATGCGATAGATTCCTTCGGCCTCATTGTTCGCCGACTACTTTTTCTTCGGCTCCTTCGACGTCTCTTCACATGTTATGCAACATTTTCCGACATTATATCGAGATTATTATACGATTTGAACTCTGAAGGGACCGCGTTTGGGGTAGTTCTCGGCCAAAGATCATTTTCATTTGACTCTCGCCAAAGGAAAGGTCGAGTCGAGTCGAGTTTGTACACAATTAATTGTAGCATTTGAGACCTCGTAGGGCCGTAAGCCCTACTTAAGGTACAAACTTTTTGTGATTCGGGAGCGGGGAGGGAGTATTATATTGTGGAGCACATTTAAAATTGTATAAAATTGCGGAAGGTTAACGGAAATTGACGAAGAGATTAACTCTGGTATTATAGTTAGAAATATGAGGAAGGATCTAAGCGATGGAATATACTTTCTATTTATTCAGATACATGGGATTCCCCTTTTGAGTTTAAAACTCATTTTAAATTATTCTTAAAATACTCAATAAATTAAGAAAGTTATTTTACATGAACTACTACCAAAATACTTAAATTTTAAGCAAATAAATAAATGAATGCTAAAGTCAGCTAAGCTTTATAAATCCAGTAGATTTCATAGTCACATCAGTAACTTCATCGGTACACCTACACCACATGAAATATCGTATCCTATTCTCCGACTTGTAACAAAATTGACCGATATTGGTCTTGAGACTTTTCGAAATGTTTTTCACTTACAAGGAACTAATTGACTTGGCCATTGGCTCCCCGGAATCGGGACACGTGAACTTTTATGCTTTGCAAGTTTTGCTTACGTGCTTTGCCCAACGCCTGGCGGTCCTCGATAAAGTGGTCGAAGTGCAGAGCGGTTTCCGTAAGTAAAACGATTTCTTTAGAGATGTTTTTATTATTTTGTCGTTTTTTTAGTCCCCGAAAAGGACTTGGAGTTCCGCTTGTTTGCCGGCGCAGATGCTGAGGGAGAAGAGCCTAAGGAGCAGGCGGGTGAAGAACCCGCGGAGCCAGTCGAGATACCTCCAGTCGAGGAGACACCAGTAAAGGAGGAGCCAGCTGAAGAGGTGCCAGTAAAGGAGGAGCCAGCTGAGGAGGCGCCCGTTGAAGAGGCGCCAGTGGATGAGGCGCCAGTTAAGGAAGAACCAGCTGAGGAGGCGCCAGATGAGAAAGCGCCTTCTGAGAATCCGCCAGCTGAGGAGGCGCCCCCCGCCACAGCAGAGGTCAAGGCAGAAGATGAAAACCATCCGGATAAAACTGACGACGAAGATACTCAAACCCTGCCCACTCCGGCTGATACGCAGGAAACTGAAGCAGACGGCGCCCGAGTTCCCCAAATCACTTCGCCGGGCTCAGTGGTTTCTACTCGCTCATCCCATAGGAAAATGGCGTCTACAATTGATGCCACTGTTATCACGCGCCTGGAAAAACGAGTTTCTTTAATTGAAATGAACAGGGAGAAGACTTCCATGGATATGGAACTGCTTATGAACCATCTCAAGGCCCAGCTGAAGCTGACCATAGAGCAGGTGAACAATGTGGCCCACATACTGATCGACCGGAGACGTGATCCGAAAAGGATAAAGATAGTTCGGCTATTTGCCAAACAACTGAAGGCGCTAACGGAAACGGGAGGCAGCCGGGAGGTCTCCGTCAGTTGGTCCAGTGATGAACTCGAGGGCGGCCCATATGAGGAGGAGGGTTTGATTGAGGATGATATTCTAGAGGAGGATTATTCGATGCTTTCGCAACCAACGCCACCACAACCAGAAGATGATCTCCTTGCGGATATGCCGCTTGGCATGGAGCGAATGCACAATGACGTAGTGTATCTGAAGTCACAGGTCTGTGCCCTCACCAACAAAGTCAATGAACTGGCCGCCGCAATGGTGAAGCAAGACTGCCAGATATTCTTAGGAAAATTTGAGGAACTCCAGAGGGCGATTCAGGATCTACATGTCTTTCAGACCAGCACCAAGGAGATCACTTCCAATACTTTGAAAATCCTGAATGGAGCTGTCAAGCAGATTGAGAATCTTCAAAGTTCCGCTCTGCTTTTGGAAGAGCGCAAGTGCGACAGACTGGAGATGGAACTATTGATGGCCGAGAAGGTCAACTTTCAGCAACTGGCCACCAAAGTCTCTCTGCAGCACCTCGAGGAGCACAAATTCACGCTGGAGCAGATGTTCTGTGAAGTTCGTCACGTGGTCAGTGAGAACGAGCGGAATATCCTGCAGATCATCGACAATCTACGAATGACCCTGGGCATCGATGCCATGGAAGTGGGTCTCAAGGACTTTCGTCAGATGATCGAAAAGCGGGTGGGAATGATCGCAGATGCCCTGCAGAGGTACATGGAGATGACGAACGACGACTGTGCCGCTGCCGCTGGCAGAGTCAAGGTCCTGCAGGACTTGGCCTGCCTCTCCTGCGATAGCACCTGCTTAATGCGCACAGTGGAGCGTCAGAAGCTGCCATCCTTTCCAACGGCAAAGGGTTCGGTTGGTCAGGCTCCCATTGTAGCCTATGATATTGGACAGATTCGCGGCACTGGTGTTATGGGTTACTATCGCAAGGACGAGTTCCCATGCTCACCCCACGCCTGGACCAAGGGAACTTCCCGAATTCCACTGCCCAAGTGTAATCCCAGGCATGCCGGAGGAGTTCACACTATCCACACAGCTGAAGAGCATATGCAGAAGGTAGTTCTCTCCAAAAGGAACTCTGGATGGTCTTAATACTGTTTGTTTAAAATTATTATTTCAAATTCTTTAATTTAATTTAAAGAGATTTACAAAACTGATTAAAAATAAAACTGTTTCCTATGCAAAGTACATATATATTTGTTATCTTTTTTAAGAACCGAATCTATTAGGTCTATACAGATATTCCCACTAAAAAGTACAACAAATACAGTTTTTGTATAATTTTGAGGTGCTGTGAAATTAAATACGATTTAGTATTTTAAATGTTCAACGTTCAAAATTGTTACGTTATCATACTTGCACTTTAAAATCTGAATTCAGAAACCAGAAAAAATATATTCCGGTTCTTGGTTCCTAAAAGTTGTCGACCTGTGTTTTATAGATATAATCCCACCCTCAAAATATAACGAAAGTTTTCATTTCATTTGATTTATTTCTTGCCATGCTTTCCTTAATTAATATTACTACCTTTATGTCAGCTAATGGGGCTAATTACACGCGAAGATCTCTTACAGATAGACACTTCTTTAGGTGTTTACGACTACGTTAACTTTGGCCATAGACAAAGCTCTCGGATATCTTACAATGCGTAAGCTACGTAACTACTATATATCTACATATACATATATGTACATAACGAGTCCTTCTTGGGCCTATTCAGTCCTCGCTCTTGGTGACCACGGAGACGGGCGTGGAGGCGTTACTGCTGGCTCCCGCCGCACTGCTGGGCGACTGGGCCGCCGTCGAGGTGAGCATCAGTCCGCCCGAGATCAGGGTGGTGCCGCCCCCACCGCCAGATGGGGGCGTGACATGAGGCGGCGTGTGGTGAGGCACTAGCTTGGGACTCTCGCGCGGACTGCTGTTGCTGCAGGGCGGGCTCACCTGGCTCAGGCCGGCGGATAGGCCGGCGTGCAGCGACAGGTTCTGCGGATATCCGGCCGAGGGTACGGCAGCAGCAGCCGCCGCCGCTGCAGCAGCCGCTCCGGCGCCGAAGATGCCGTTCAGGTTGCTCAGGCCCATGTACTGGGAGAGCAGGGTGTGGAAGTTGGGCAGCTTGTAGTGGGGCGCCATCAGCTGCTGGGGCAGCAGGCCGGCGGCGGCGGCTGCAGCGGGATTGAAGTGCTGATGGAGGGCGAAGTGCGGGGGCCAGAACTCGGTGGGCAGGGCACCCGGATGGCCGGCCAGGCCCGGATGACCTGGCAGGGGAATGCCCAGCGGAAACTCCGGAAGACCTGAAAGCGAAAAAGACGAAAGGGTGGTTCGGTTAGTCCAACGTCCAACGAGGGTGCTGACAAGCGACATAATTCCTAATTATGTTGCACACGTAATTTGGCAATTTGCGGGCAAATCAAATGCGTATCGCTGGGCGGCAGGATTATTGCAGCGCCCAGGGGGGTGGTTAACTCACCTTGCTCGGGCAGGAGGTAGCCGGCCTTGTCCTGATTCATAAACTTCTCACGTTTGCGCCATTTGGCCCGACGGTTTTGGAACCACACCTGCAAGAGCACGGAAAGAAGGAGATTTTGAGTTAGAGTTGTGCGTATGCAAATGCAACTACCCCTTTATTTGGGGTATATTAGGCTTAAGCAAAGTGTGGAAAGTCAACAAATTATTTAAAATTATATGGAGGCATTTTAATTCTGAACTTTACAAAGGTATACCAGATTCACTGATCCACTAAAATAGCTCTAGTAATGCTAATAGGTATCCCCAAGTGCGACCCCTCATCCTTTTTTACCAACCATCGACTTGCCAAGCGTCTTGTAATTGCTTTGACTTTGACCAAAACCCGAACAATTTGGCAATCTATCAATCTGTGAGTTCGAAAAGTTGAATTCCCTTGGTCCTTCGTTGGCTCCTTGTGCCGAATGTCTGAGCCAAAGGACACACAGAGCCGGGAGTGCAAGAAGAACGAGCAGGAGGAGAGGCCAAATACAATGGCATCCAATCGGAAGTGCTCTACTCTGATTTGCAACGCTCTCCGGCTGTCTCCCTCTGAGCTCAGTGCCAGCGAGAGGGTGTCTTATGCATTTTTCGACACTTCCTTGGGGGTTGACCAACCTCCACCCCACCCTCCCACCTGCCACACAAAATAGGCGTTGGCTGCACACACATTTCTAGAGGGGAATTTTCAATCCGAGACTCTTGCATTTGATGGGAAAATTAATTGTTTGTAAATTGAAATCACTTGACAACTGACAGTACGCAGTGATGAGTCCTGAGACAAAAGAGGAGTCTCCGCAATTATAGACACCCTGTATTTAGGCGAGGACACCCCACTCCGGCACCACCTCCACAGCCCGGAATTTGCAACAATGTGTGCAGCTAAGCGAGTAGTAAATTAGCAACGATTTCCTTGCTATAATTGCTGCCAATTATCGTCCTGTGTGTCCTCTGTGTGTCTGCTGGGAAAACGACAGCCCACCCAACGCACTCCCACACTACCCCAATTCTCCAATGTGTGTGTCTGTGTGCGATTTTGTGGGCTTTTTAATTGTCAGTTGGCAGCAATTATAATGCGAGCAACTTAAACCACTGTGCCCGAGCAGCCAGGCAGTAAAAGTTGAATTGCGGATATCCGTTCAGCATTTATCACACATGTGCGATCAAAACGAAAGAAGAAGCTGTGACAGAGGGTATAATTCTATTCAGGAATAACTAGTCAAGGCATTTTTATGAGGCTTTATAACCTGGAAATCTATACCTTAATTTATATATAAACAGATTTATTTTAAAGCATTTTAAATGAATGTTATTAGTTAGAGCTAATTGTATTCAAATAAAAACATTTTTAATGATCTTATATCATCATATTAGTTTTAAGTATTTGACTTTAGCTTCAAGGTAAAAGAGATTGACTTAAAAACACCGAAATATTTGAAAATAAAAAATCAGACAAGTCTCTTTCATTATTTTCTTGCATACTCACTCCCCCAATAAAAATTTGAATTAACCCGTGAGTTGAGTCGTTGGCTACTCCTTTTTTTTTTTTTGCAGATTTCCACACACAACAACCATGCAAATCCCAAAATAATTGCCCTCTCATCAACCCCAAAAAAAAAGGCGATTAAGCTGCAGATACTTTTGTATCTATTAGATTGTTCAGAGCCAGCGAACAACTCTAAATCTGATACTATTCAAGTACCCGAAACGCTCTGCATATGCGAATCAATGACCAATTACAGTTAATCTGCTCACAGATACGAGAAAAAAAAGCGAGGACGCGGAAAAGGATGCGCACGGGGGGATGAGGATGCGAATGACGGATGGCGGATGGCGACCGTGAAACGGACAATTTGTATGCGAAGCCCGTAATCCCTCTGTGAGCCAGCAAGAGTGCTTAGGTCAAGTTGTTTTACATTCTCTTCACATTTTTTTTTTTGTTGTTGTGCACATGCGATTGCTATTGCGATACTTTTCCCCTGTCATCGGCGTTGAAATTGAGCGAATCGCTCAATCAAAAGTGAAGTGTTTGAAAGCGTTCTCAACAGAAATCGAATTGTAAGGGAGTGCAGGCAAAGGGACACCCTAATTACATGTGTAGTCAGTCGGGTGTGCTTAGCCGCGTGTCCTGCAGCAGGCAGACAGGCACCCAAAGCCACTTTAATTGTTTACCCAAAAGTAGAGTTAATAAAAATACCGACACCATGTGAGCGCGGCCAATTTAATCATTTGGAAAATCACAATATCTAATGTCCTTGGGCCAACCCCTAAACAGGAACGCAAAGCGTCAACCCTCCTCCTAGATCTAAGCGTGTTTGTATACAAACTGGGGCTTAAGTGTTTTAAAGACAATTTACAAATTGGGCTCGGTAATTGTTCCAAGGGTTAATCTAGTCTTTCAAGTTCCCAGGTTCACGGTTTTTGAGTTGGGTACTATTTAGTGTTGTTTAAAAGTTGTTAGGTGAACCTTCATAATCGAACAAAATACTTTTCCCTTAGATGTTCTTTAAATACTTGTAGTTCTAACTTTAAATAAAATTATTTCTATGATCTGTATTTTTTTATAGCAACTTGAAACCTTAGTTGCAACATTTCATTTAGACTTCCTACTAAAATCTAGCCTAATTCTCAAATAATTGTTTGAATCATATCACAATTTCAATTACCTGCACGCGTGCTTCGCTCAAATCCAGTCGCATGGCCAGATCCTCCCTTGTAAATACATCCGGATACTGCGTCTTCTCGAAGGCCCGCTCCAGCTGATGCAATTGAAATGTTGTGAATGTTGTGCGGGATCTGTGAAAAATCAAGGCAACCAAAGGCGGCTCTTTAGATGGTTGTTACGAGTAGTAAAACCCCTTTGTTGGGATGCTTTTTTATTAGCCCAACAATGGTTAATTCGATTTGATCTGCTAAGCGGATTTTGACTCACCTACGGACTTTCCGCGGCCTCTCCATATCGCTGAGATCATGGCCATTATTCAGGCTGGAGGACAGCTCGTCATCATTATCCACGTCCAGGCCTCCATCCGTGTTTGTGGGGGAGTCCTCGCGCTTTGCCTGGACCTGCAATTGCTGGTGTTGTTGCAGCTGCTGCTGATGTTGCTGCTGCTGCTGATGTTGCTGCTGTTGATGCTGCTGCTGCTGATGTTGTAGGTGACTGCTTCCATTGCTGTTGCTGCCGTGCAGGTGGTGGATGTGATGCGAATGGGCGTGGTGGGGATGCGTAATCAACACTTCGCTGGGGGTATCTGCAAACAGAGGAACGACGAAGAACGATTGGCAAAAGTTAAACAATTTCAAATTGAACTCAAGAGCGAGAGCGAGAACCAAAAAGTTCCGCGTTTGACTTTGAAAAGCGAAAGCCAGGCGGCAGCTGCAGAAATTGAAATTCATTCAATTGTAACTGAAGTAGTTATATCCTGAATTTTAACCCCCTTTTTTTTAGCGCAGAGTCTCGAAAAAATCAAATCCTTGAAGAGCTCGAAAGCTACGCAAATTGATTTGGCAATCAATAACAAATAAATAAATATAAAGCCAGTAAAAAGTTTGCTCCTGCCACTCCACACACAAGGCACATAAATATCCTTTCTCACGGCGAGTAGGCATATTTTTTAAGAGGCGAAACCGTTTCTTGCGAGCATGTAATCAAACCTTAATGAACCTCAAATTAATCAGATTCACAATGGCACCAGTTCACATCCCCGCGCAGCAGGACGCAGGCCCGGTGCTGGATGTATCCTTATCGTATTTCGAAACATTTATGCGGCCTGTTGTGGCGAAAAGGTAATTTCCATCGAGCATCAAATTACGAGGCTCGCAGGATGCAGTGTCCTGCGGTGCGCACGCCGCTCGTTGTCGCCAAATTGCAGGCCGGGCCAATGGGTGCCGTGATTCCAGAATCCTGCCAGGCAATTTTAGAGCCTGCTCCCCTCCTCTCCCTCGCTGTATAGCCTGGCTCTTCCTAAGAACTTCAATCTAATTACGGGTCTAATGACGCAATTGCTTTTCGCCCCCTTCTCTAACACCCCGTGATATATCCGGCCAGATATGTTTTGATACACAGTGTTTTTTTTTTGTATTCTCCTTGGCCGATCCTTGGGCGAACCTTGGGCATCCTGCAGCTTGGCCACGCCCCCAAACAACAGTTCCGACATGCCCGAATCCCTCCCATTGTCATGATACGAGTATACCTCTCCTGTCTGGGTGGAGTTCGAGGTCAATGTTTGCCGGAAAGTTTTTTCCTATAGCCCACACTAACTACGACAAAATGTCCTTTCCAGGCAATTTGCATATGATATGGAAAAGTATGTGATATGGGTGGCCCTTGGCCATGTCATTCTGTCTTTATTCATGTCCCTGGGTGTTGGGATAGATCTTTTTGATGTGGTCAATGGAGGAGTATGGGTGAGGAAGTGTTGATTATGGTGCATCAGTTTGGAGTCGAAAACTAAATGGAAAACTCCATAGAAGGTAAGTGAACTTTATTTTATTTTGAAGGTTAAAATGGGAAGCAAAGATATTTATAGATAATTTATAAGTTATATCTACAATACATGTAATCTGGATTATTATCAAATAATTATTAAGGATTACTTATGAAAATAGTTCAAATAATTGTATAACTAATGATTGATTGAAATTAGTTTCCTTTCAATTATTTATAATAGAGCTATATTCTTTATTATTAAATGATAATTACTATAAATAATTATAATCTAATAATAATGCCAACAAATAATAAGATTTCCTTCTTAGTTCCTTCCTAATTTTGTCAGTTACTTTTATTAACGTTTTTAAGTTAATTGAATCCCTTCACTTCTTGAACTTTAGTTATATGATCTAAAACATGGATGGACATTTTAATTCAATGTTAAAGCTTGACAAATGAAAATCTGCTTTATATAGAATGAAAAACAACGTCTTTTTATTACCGATTATCAAGGCGGAATGAGTGTCTGGAGCTTAAAGAGCCACTAAGTGCCCATCTCAAACAATAAAATACCGAAATTCCTTTATATTGATTTGGAATTTTAGCCATAATTGCTAATAATTGCTTTTAATAAACTATTTTAATACACTAATAAAGGATAGTAACTTCCGAAATAATTAAAACCCTTTGTGTTTCCAACAAAATATTCTCCCAGAACCTAAGTAACTCCTACTTCAGATCGCCGACGGCAAACTGCCTAGGCTATAACGAAAACCTAACCCCACACCTACATTCCCCATGACTTCCGGGCCTAATAATTCTATTAGTTTAGTTTAACAACTTAGTAGTTAAACTCACCACTGCGCTTGATCTGGTGCTGATTGCCCAGGATCTGATCGATGCTGTAGACGGCGCGGGGGCGCGAAACGGGACTCTCCTGGACGGGGGCGGGGCGCATGGCTGGCGGCATGATGGGATGATGCTGGTGGTGCTGCGAGGTCGTCGTGGTCATCATAGCTCCACCGGGGGAGAGCTCACGAAATAACCGACTAGGGCTTTGGATACACTTGTTTCTTGACTTCCGCAGCCGTTGGCTTGGGGAAAAGCTTCTCTTTGTTTATTATTATTATTGTCACTAACTGGGGAAAGCACGCACCAAAGGTGACTTAATTATTAATTAACTATTCGAATTCGATTTGGATTGCGATTTCACAGCCGCTGCGACGAACTGAGTGGTGTACTGACTGAGTGTAGCGCTCGGGACGATCAACAACCACCGACTGAGCCCGATTCCTGCGGAACGTGGCATTAAATACGGCCCTGGGTAGTGTTGCTGATGTGCAAGTGAAATGGGCGAGGCTCTCGCTCGCGTTTCCCAATGTCCTGCCCAGCCAGCCGTCTCGCTCGCTCCTGCTCTCGCTCTCCAGGGGTGGATTCCCCCTTGTTGTTGTATCTTGGTATATGTATATTCCCTCAATGGGCTAGTGTGTGTGTGGCAGGTAGCTTTTGTTTAGGGGTGTTGGCACTCCCTCTCGCTCTCCGGCCGTGCTCTCTTCCGCTCCCTCACCCCTTACAACTATCTCGTTTGTTGTAACTAACATAGTTTGCTGATTAATGTTATTTATTTCACAAATTTGCTTGTTAAAAAGTATCTTAGTATCTCACGGATCTCTCCCACTCTTCCTCCCTCTCTCTATCTCTCTCTTTCTGGTCTTGTCTCATCCACAAATCACAGAACAGGTTGTACAACTCTCTGGTTTTCCTACCTGAAACCTGATTTATGTCGGCCATTTGCCAGGAGCTCGTTTATTAGTTCCGCTTCCATTTCGGCGCAGATTTGCGGCGAGGATCCCCGAGATCTCGGCAGAATGAGCCCGCGGTTTCATTGAACCCTTCAAACGATCAATGAATCCCTTTACTTAGCAGGGAGTTGTCGCGGGATCGAGACCTAAGTTCATTGATTAAACTGATCTCATCTAGCCGGATCTTTGCCATTCTGGATTTCGTTGGGAGGGAATAGTGAACAGGTACAGCTTGGGAATTATTTCGGTTGGGAATAAAATATTTTAAAAATTTGATTTTTTAAATAAAGATAGTTGCTGAGGCCTTAGTTCGTTGAATCAATTCACATGAATCAAGTTGTTATTATGTGAAAATCTACCAGATCTTAAGAAAAATAAGCAAGGACTTACGGACATAAAAAAGGTTTCAAAATTCCCTCGGAAATACATTAAATTTATCTCGTAAGTTAAGACATTCATTTTTATCAGACTAAAACAAAGATTAAATTGTATATTGAAACCAAATAAAACCTTTTATTTCAGATATTTGATTTTATGTTTCTATCCATCCAGTAAATATTTTAACATAACTTTAAAAAATTACTTTTCCCTTAGAAACATTTTCACAATATAAATTCTTTTTGAAAAATAGCCAAAATATCTTAACCTTGGTTAAATCTTTCAGCCAAGATTTGCCTTGATCAGCAGCTTAGACCGATTTTGCTCTCCAAGCTTTTCGCAAGGTTGCATAACATAATAGGAGCTAAAATGGCCAAGATTGCTACCCGAAAAACCCTCTTCTAGCATTCCATAGAGTGAGATGAGCCGAAACGCCGTTTACAATGATAACAAAACGCAGCCAGGGATTTATCTTCTCTAATTTGTTGAAACTTACACAATTCCTTTGTGCCCTGAACCCAAACAAAGCCAAAGATCGCGGCACCTTCCGAGCCGGAGAAAGCGGGAAAAGCGAGGAAAGCGAACACGTAATTTCCGCAGAACTGCGAACAAGTAAATGGTACAAAGCCGCGTTGACCGGACTCATTAATGTGCCAGATGCATGACGCCACAGGAGACAGGACACAGACCTGCCTGCGAGCCGGATAAAAATGCAAGGCTCTCGGCTTAGGGCCTAGTCCAGCCAGGGCGCTTAATCATATTTTCATAGGACGCATTCCCTATGCAGATTTCATTCAGAAATCCGATTGCATGTTCGTTTAATTTAGAGCTGCGGAGGACATCTCGGACTTAGCCTACCTGCTGCATCACGTAATCTCCGATCTAATGTGGACTGTGGAATAATGCCGCTCGCCGCAAATTTATGCAGCATCATCAGCGCACTTAGACATAATCGTGGCTCATTAGGACTGCTAAACAGCCGAAGGAAAAAGGCCCTGTTGGGGGTTGCTCGCTAGATAATTGCCGATCCTCGTTCCCCGAATCAGCCCAGGTCTGGCCCTAATTTATCCCAGGGCCTAGTGATTGGCCCATTTGATGGTTACGATATATCAAGATATTAAAACCAGAAGCAACGCCTCGAAATCAAGAATTGGTTTTTAAATATGAGGGAAGATACCATAATCTGTGGTAATTATAAAGAAAATTTAATGGTAATCACACTGGTAGGTAGTTACCATTAAATGATCTTTAAAACAATTTTGGTATTACTTTGAAGTTATTATAATATTTTTTAATTTTTTGTTCGTCGAAATAAAAAGTTTCTCAGAAAACACGTACAGCAAAGGTTATATAGACAGCTTTTTTTGGATGAACCACGAAAGCCTCCGCATTATATTTATTTTTTTATTAAATATAAACGAACATATATTAAATAATAGTATTAGTACTGGTATTAAATATTAGTAGTCAGATAAGGATGTGTGTTAGGGTTTAGCTCTCATTTAGAAAAATTCAAATAACAACATTTCACGATATTCTTTTATTATTGAAAACTTATGGCCAATTTCCTGATTTGCAGCTATTAACCCATTGTCTCCTTGGAGTTCTTCTCCCCTACAAGCCTCCTTGGCAGGCTCTCTTCAACACTTTCAACTCATTTAATTGGAGGAGCTATTCCCGCTGTCCCTTCCCCTGACACTGAAAGCCATTTAGGCCAAGTGTGAAATGACAAATTGAATCAAAGTCAAACTCAAACTCAAACTCATTGAAGGCTACACTTCATTGTAATTTCTAAATTAGCACATCAATTTAGGCCAGAAGGGGCGAGTGGGTTGGAAAGAGTTCTCCTAGAGATGCGCTCCGAATGTCTCGCAAAGTCTCTTCGGCCGAGACTCTCTCTCGGGACATGCGCAGAGAAGCTGTAAGCCCATTGGACGGTGTCCTGTGTGTCTCTGTGTGTGAGTGCGACGAGTTCCAACGAGGTCATTATCGTGTTACCCCCACCACAGCTACACAGAGTCATCCAAAGCCATCCAGACCCATCCCTCCTCCGCCGGCGCAGCAGCTGCGTGTAAACACATTGTGGCAATTCTCTCTGGTGCCATGACTGTGTTCACCTTTTAATAAGGTTAACTGCGACGACGACAACAACCCACAAACACCCACTTTGCACAATGGCTGTGTGTGCGCGTGGGTGGAGTGGGTGGTGTCGGAAAAGCTTGGGGGGCTGATAGATGCTGTTGGCAACATTTTTCTTAACCATTAAATCTAATATATCAAAGTAATAAAACGAATTTCGCCCGTTGTGCGGGTGGAAACTGCAGGGAGGGGTAAGTACCCAGCTCCTGTGTGTGTGTGTGTGTGTGCGTTCGTTCTTACCCTCCACGTAATCCAACTAAAAAGTTTTCGTCTACTTACAGTCTGCCTGCCATTGTCTACCGGATATTCTTCCCTTTCCCTCGGGGTTCTGGCCAAAATGGGGAAATGGCGGGGGGGTTATAGCTGAACTGATAGCTTTTCTTATGGTGCTGGGATATTTAATTTTGAGTTTTAACTTGCTGACAGAGAGAAAGGGGTGGGAAATTGTTGAATACCTGCCACTGACAACATTTTTGAAGCAGGGAAAAGACGATTGACTTTGGCAATTAGTTTTGCTAAAAGATCGACAGATCTGTAAAGATAATTAAACCATATTTTAATTATTTATTTAAGGACTGTAATTGAAGTTTTCACTTTCAAGTTTGTCTAGCTTTAAAATTGTTAGAAAATTATAATGATATTGTAGGATTTCCAGAAGCTGTTTTAGCTCTTTGGCCAAACTTTTCTCCTAACATACTTAATATTTTTCGATTAAGGCTTTCACCTCGTCCCCAGTCCACTTGGAATTTCACCAAACTCCTCCGGCAGCAGATAGTTTGCGATAGTTGCTGCTTGGCAAAATGTAATATGCGGCAGGCAGCAAATGAGCAACTGCTGAGGTTGGCTAGCAACCGCAATTCAGGCAACACACTGCTCACAGCACACAGCTCCTGCCCACAGACACCCACACACCCACGTCTCAGTGGTTTGAATTATCCAATATCCTTGACTGTTTGTGGACGTAATCAAACAACTGCGAAAGGAGAGACGGGCCAAGGCCTGTTTGACATTTAGTTTCATAATCTAATATAGCAGGAGGGGCAGGATTGGATATGAAGGACTCAGACCGCATACAAATACTTCCAACGACTGTCAGTCAGTCAGTCAGTCTTGTATCTCAACATTTTTGCGCACGACATTATTGGCCACGGTTATTAAGTCCCGAGGCCAGCAGAGAATAGATTCCGGTTGCCAGAAAGGGGGATTTTCAGCGGAACAGGAAGGACAGGAAGAGTTCCAATCTTATCCTGGCTTCTGGCACACTTTTCCCTGATTCACCAGCGATAACCCTTGGCTATTCCTAGTACCAAGGTGTCCCCCTGAATTGGTCTGCATATGTCGGGATCAGTGGTAAATTGACACTCGTTTTGGGCCAAATTAAAGCACATATGAAAAGACTCACACACGTCCAGGTTTCTGCCAAAATTTCTGGCCAAGATAAGCGGCTAAAGAGCGGACTGCTCACTTCAAAGGACACGGTAGCCGACAAAAGTGCTTCCCGGTAATTATGCGGCTCGGCTTCTGTTCTATTCTGCGGTGCAGATTTGGCCACCTCCCTTCACCTGGAGATGGGCAATCACATGTGCAAAGAAAATTCATTGGAAATTACCTGTCACATTGTTGTACACTTGAATTACATAAAAATTGGCCAGGCGAACAATGGCCGGAGTGGCTACCGTTTTTGGCCAGGACAGGACACAAAAGGATAATGCACACATATCCATATGCGAGGACAAGGACGAGGGTGTTGTTTGGCCAGCATGCAAAACTGCAGCCAAACAAACAAATAAACTGACAACTGCCAAGTGGCTCTGGCTGGGAATCTGGATCTGGATCTGCATCCGAATCTGAATCTCGGGCGACAACAATAAGGCGCTTGATATGTGTACGCATGGGCGTGGCCCGGGGGGCGGGGGCCGGGCCACAAACAACAATTGTAATCACACA